GGAATCCCCGCTCGAGCGTCAGACACAGACTCACGCTTGAGCGTGAAAAGAGCCGCTCGAGCGTCGATTGCACACTTCCAGAAGTTTTGCAGGCGATGGTACCCGCTCGAGCGCCAAACTCTCCGCTCGAGCGGAGGGACTGCAGAGTAAAGTACTGGGAGATCGAAAAACATGCTCGAGCATCAAAACTCCCGCTCGAGCGGATAGGCAACAACGAAAAGCCCGCTCAAGCGTTAAAACTTCCGCTCGAGCGTGAAGGCCAAAATCTGGACATCACCTTTTGGTTTCAAAGTGCAACCAACCTGTTTCAAACCTGCCCATCACAACCCAAGATTCAAATACAAAGAGGAAAGGCTAGAAGTGATAATGATACAAAAACAAGTCCACGGAACTAAGTCCAGAATACAGTATACAAAGGAAGGAAAAATCGGGATCGCTATAAAATCCAACCCATATTTTATAAAAAGTTAAAAAGTACACTTATTTAGAACATCCCAAACAACTCCTTAATAAAATATTTGATAAAATATTTAGAATACATACCATTTCCCAAACTTTTGATGGAGGACTTGAAAGTAAAATTCCATTCAAAATTTTGACTTAAGTCTCTTTTGGGAATATGCTAATTTAGTAATTTGTTAACTATTTCACTAAAATATGAGCTAAAAAAAATTAGTATGATTAGAATAATTTTAAATTTTTTACGAAAAGATGTGCAAAAGTAGAGAAAAAATAAAATTTTTGACTTTTTAATATAAATTTTTAATTTTTTAATTTTTTTAATGATTTTTTAAATTTTTAATTAAAAAAATCACTGGGTAAACGAGCCCTCACTTAACTTGATGCGGACATATTCAAAATGATTTTGACATTACAAGTAGCTTGCGTCATCTAATGGAATTTAGGTAAATCGTGCTATGATACAAGGGCATTATAGGCATAATGAATAAATTCGTCCTATAAATTTCCTAAACAATGGCAGGCTCGCTATATGTTCTCGACTATCGACCGGTCTCTCTCTCTCTCTCTCTCTCTCAATTTCTGGAGAGAAATCACCTCAACTTTCTCTCTCTCTCCGAAAAATCAAAAATCAAAAAACATTCTCTTTCTCTCTGTCTCTGTCTTCAAGATTCAAAGCACAATCTCGTAAAAAATTGTTTGCGAAAACAAAGGTCGTGGAATAGCCCCCAAAGAATTTCTTCAGATTCAGGTAATTCACCCTCTCTCTCTCTCTCTCTCTCTCTCTGTGTGTGTGTGTTTATACATACATACATATGTATTGTTTTCTCGATAATTTTCTTTTGGAATCACGAGAAAGAAAATACGGAAGCGGAATTCCTGAAAATGGAAAATACGATCGAATTGCGAAGGTGATGATGAGGAAACCCTGGGGAACTAGTACTGTGAATTCGCAGCAAGGGGTAGGGCATTCATGTCATTTAAAAGTTATACATGCAAATTCAAGCATTAGTTACGAGGCTTCGTGGTAGAGTGTAGCCACGGTGTGCCACGATTTGAATTTTCTTATTTAGTGTAAAAAGTCAATAATGCTATACAAACGAACGACAACTTTGCAAGTGTTTCCTACTTTTAAAAGTTGTGTACATATGCATAGACTTTTATTTTCAAAAATTACTTATTTGTTTATTTTTTAACTATCTTATATTATACAGTTTTATTTGGTATACTTTGTTGAAAGTTAAAAGATGATAACAAAAAAAATTAGAAACTAAAAGTATCTTTTCTCTAATTTTTAATTTTTTTTTAAACTTTATTTCTACCTAATAAATTATAATTACAAACTGCACTATACAATATGCAATTTAATTTGACAAAGACTGTTAAATTGTAACAAACACCTTCAGTGGATTTCATGGTCCCACTTTTGCAAATCACTTGCAGAAGTGATGTTTGATGGCTTAACTTTTTTTTACCTTCCACTTTCGGTGCTGTGTGTTTCTCTAGAAAATACACTGGAAAGATCTGGACAATTTTTTAATTACTTTTTTCAAGTTGCTTGAATAGAATTGTTCTTCTTTACACGCAAATTCAATTCATTTGAGGGCTTTCCATAAAAAATTGCTTTTAAGAATTGTATGTATTCATCTATTTATTTAATTTTCCACCAAATTGAGTTAATTTGACATTGCTGGACTTGGAAAGTCAAGGTAAACTTAAACTAGATAGCCATTAGTTTTCAAACCCTTGTCCTAATTTTTTTTTTTTTTATTGAAGAATTTGATTAGGATGTATGGTTTTTGTTTACTTTTTATAATGCTATACTTGCTCAAATCAAATAAAAAACTAGGCAGTGTGTTTGGTTTCAATTTTTTGAATTCAGTTTTTTAAAAGTTGAGATTTTTATTTTTCGTATTTTTTTTTTGTTTTTAGTGGATATTTTAAAAAATTTAAGCATTTTTTTTTTTACTTTTTTTTTAGATAGACTTTAATTAGATGTATCTAAAAAGTAAAATATTTGTAAAAAAATATTTCAAAAAACTTATTAAATACACAAAAATATGAAAAATATATTGAATTTTCGTTTTTTTTTTTTGTATTTTTGTATTTTTTGGTATTTAGTGATTTTTTTAAAGATTTTTTTCACGAAAATTATACTTTTTAAATGTATTTATGTTAGGTGTCTAAAAATTAAAAAAAAAATGCTTAAAATATTAAAAAAAAAAATTCAGTAAAAACAAAAAAATACGATAAACAAGAAAGTAATTTTCTGAAAAGTGTTTTTAGAAAACCCAAACCAAGCAAAGTGTATAATGATTCCCACCACTTGTATTTAATTATAATACAATGTTAATAACCAGATTGACACATTTTATATGATAACATAAAATTGTAAAAATAGACATGGTGATTGTCACATTATTCTACTTATTTTTTTATGACATGTAATTTCGGATTATGATTGGAATTATGTACTTGGATCTAAAAAAAGTGTTGGGGCTTATCTCATATTCACATCACGCCACATTTTGATAATCTAAACCTTTCATTTTGTAGGTTGTCAATGTATATTATTCATGAAAAAAATTAGTTCAGTCTGATAATTGTAACATTTTTATTTTATCACATTTGTCTCTAAAAAAATGAACAACAAATATATATATATATAAAAATAGAATATTAATTTTTTAGAGACAAATATAAAAAAATGAAAATATTACGATTATTAGACCGACCTAATTTTTTCATAGATGATGTACATTGAAGGTCCTACAAAACAAACAGTTCAAATTATCGAAATAAGATGCTTTGTAGGCCTTACGGGTGCCTCTAGTTCTCATCATATTGAGATGTGAACATGAGAATCCTAACTCTTAAAAAAATATATTAGGTTGCTGAAGCCAATGTGGTTGGTTTTGATATTGGAGTACAGAGTAGTCAATCAATCGATCTTGGAATACATAATCTAATAGATATAGATATTTGGTGGTGATCATATGATGCAGGTATTTTTTATTGAGAATCTGCAGTTTCTGGTTGCTTGAGTTGGTGGTTGTTTTGCTGTAAATATGGCATCATCAAATAGTACTTTAAACTGTCCAGCACCCATGAAGGCTACATCTAATGGAGTGTTTCAGGGTGATGATCCTCTTGATTATGCACTTCCTCTAGCAATTTTACAAATATGCCTCGTGGTCGTTCTCACACGACTTCTTGCTTTTCTTCTGAGGCCATTTAGACAGCCTCGTGTCATTGCTGAGATCATTGTAAGATTCCTATGATTTGTCCTTTTTTTCTTTTTTTTTCTTTAGTTTAATTTAATATAATTGCTTCTTTTGTCTTTGCATGCTATGGTTATGTAACATATCATAATTGTCACAAAGCTATCGAGATTAAACACCACTGCTTTCTCCTTGAAAAAAAAAAAAAAGACATTGTGGACAGTCAGTAATAGTATAATACCATTTTTTTAGTCGCTTTGAATCTAACTATGACCCTAAAAAGTCTTACTTTTTCTTTTAAACTTTAACTCTCACTATTCTACTAAAAGATTCTCTGATTATTTTTTAGTCAATGATTTACATGTAAGGTTACAAATCAGTTCTATGCATCTATGGAATATGTTTATGGAATATGTTTGTGTGATTAAGTTTAAAAACTGTCCCATATTCACTCTAAGTGGAAGCTCAAATTTTGATATTTTATTGCTCAAGCAAAAATCAAAGAACTTCCACTTGCTATTTTGATTTAACCATATTAGAGAAGGTTTATCAGTCAATGCTTTTGATGCTCACAGTGAGGAACTAATAACCTTCCCTATTAAGAATAACATGTAAGCTAATCTTAAATTTGAGAAAAAATTTGGGAAGAAGAGTTTATGGACTTATCTTGGGTTAATGGAGAATGACATACCGTAGTGAAAATCTGAAATATGTTCTTCAATGGAAGAAAAGTTTCGTTCTTAATGACATTTCAATCAAAAAGTGTCATTCAATCATAGTTTTTCGTAGGATGTCCAAAAGCGTCAAGCCAAAGTGTTTATTTCTCTGCACCTCCCCCACTCCAACCCACCCCATCCCAACCTAACCGAATCCAACCCAAATTTTTTATATTCAAGTGGAAGGAAATGCACATAAAAGGTATTTATCGCTTCCATAGCTTAGAAGTATTTCTATTATGTACTACTACATTTTTCAGAATGAAAGTTAGCACCAAAAATAAATAAATAAATGAACAAAAGTTGACTTGGAGAAAATAAATTATATTATCCTTTTTGGCAGGGAGGAGTTTTACTTGGTCCATCAGCTCTGGGTCGAAGCCAAGCTTATCTGCATAAGGTTTTTCCACCAAAGAGCTACGCAGTCCTGGACACCTTAGCCAATCTGGGTCTCCTCTTCTTTTTGTTCCTTGTAGGCCTAGAGTTAGACCCAAGGTCTCTTCGTCGGACTGGAAAGAAAGCTTTAAGCATTGCCGTTGCTGGAATTAGCCTCCCCTTTGCACTAGGAATCGGTTCTTCATTTGTCCTTCGAGGAACTATATCCAAAGGTGTAAATGAAGCCCCATTTCTTGTATTCATGGGGGTGGCCCTTTCTATCACTGCTTTCCCTGTCTTGGCTCGTATACTGGCTGAACTCAAGCTTTTAACTACTGATGTTGGCCGAATGGCCATGTCTGCTGCAGCTGTCAATGATGTGGCTGCTTGGATTCTACTTGCTCTTGCCATTTCCCTCTCAGGCACCGACCATTCTCCCCTCATTTCATTGTGGGTTTTCTTGTGCGGGTGCGCATTTGTCATTATTTGTATAGTTGTTGTCCCACGCATATTCAAATGGATGGCGCAAAGTTGCCCTGAGGGAGAGCCATTGGATGAAATGTATGTGTGTGCAACCTTAACTATTGTTTTGGCTGCAGGGTTTGTCACTGATTCTATTGGAATTCATGCCCTCTTTGGAGCTTTTGTTATTGGAGTTCTAGTCCCAAAGGATGGACCATTTGTTGGTGCTCTTGTTGAAAAGGTTGAAGATCTTGTATCTGGCTTGTTCCTTCCTTTGTACTTCGTCTCAAGCGGATTGAAAACTAATGTAGCCACCATTCACGGGGTTCAATCATGGGGTCTTCTTGTTTTGGTCATATGTACTGCTTGTTTTGGGAAGATTGTAGGCACTGTTGCAGTCTCACTTATGTGCAAAATACCTTTTCTAGAGGCTCTGACTCTGGGATTCTTAATGAACACTAAAGGCCTGGTGGAGCTCATTGTCCTCAACATTGGGAAAGACCGAGGGGTAACATTGAGTCCAATTATTAATTTTGCATTTGGATTTTGTGAATTTTTTATTTTAATTATTTATGTAATTGATTTTACAGGTATTGAATGATCAAACATTTGCCATTATGGTTCTGATGGCTCTTTTCACAACTTTCATCACAACACCTCTAGTTATGGCAGTGTACAAGCCAGCTAAAAGGATTGGTAGAGGTGGATACAAGTGTAGGACAATACAAAGAAATGACCCCAATAGTAAACTCCGAATATTGGCCTGTTTCCACAGCACAAGGAACATACCCACCTTGATTAATCTCATCGAGGCCTCTCGTGGGACTGAGAAGAGGGAAGGACTGTGTGTCTATGCAATGCACCTCATGGAACTTTCTGAAAGGTCATCTGCAATTCTAATGGTCCACAAGGCAAGAAAGAATGGGCTTCCCTTTTGGAACAAGGGACGAAACTACGATACCAACCAAATTGTTGTTGCTTTTGAGGCTTTCCGGCAACTGAGTCGTGTGTTGATTCGACCAATGACAGCAATCTCACCAATGAACAGCATGCACGAGGACATCTGTAATAGCGCTGAGAGCAAAAGTGCAGCGATTATAATTCTCCCCTTCCACAAACATCAGAGGCTGGATGGGCAACTAGAGAATACTCGAACTGATTTTCGCTATGTCAATAGGCGGGTTCTTGAACACGCCCCATGTTCAGTTGGTATCTTGGTAGACCGGGGGCTTGGTGGATCAACTCACGTATCAGCAAGCAATGTTGATTCTGTAATAACAGTCCTTTTCTTTGGAGGCATTGATGATCATGAAGCTCTTGCTTATGGAGCCCGCATGGCAGAGCACCCTGGCATCAGTTTAGTTGTTATTCGGTTCTTAGTAGACCCCACGGTTACTGGGGAGATTGTCACTGTTGACATCAACAACGATAGCTCTAGCTCGGGATCAAGGTCTGCAGATGAAGAATACCTCGCTGAATTTAAGCAGAAAATGTCGAAAGAAAGCTCAATCAAGTATGAAGAAAGAGTAGTGAGTAATGCTGCAGAAACAGTTGCAGTAATTCGCGAGCATAATCGTTGCAATCTGTTTTTAGTTGGACGAATGCCCGAGGGTGAGTTAGTTAGGGCATTGAATGGGAAGGGTGAATGCCCAGAACTGGGACCGGTAGGCAGCTTATTAACCTCACTGGATTTCTCAACGACAGCATCGGTCCTGGTGGTGCAACAATACCATAGCCAATTATCTATGCATTCATTGGCTTCCCTGAGGGAAGAAGAAGAAGAAGAAGATGAAGATGATTTACCTGGGAGAGATTCTGATACAAACTGATAGGCTTTTTTATTGTAGTTGTGATTTGATTTAAATGTGTAGTACCTCTGTAAAGAAAAGATACAATGCAAAAATATTGCGCAATCTTACTCAAATGTTTGTTAGAAGGAATGTTGAGTGAAAGATTAGCAACAATTGATTCATCATCAAATATACTAAAAACTGTTGTACTGCAATTTAATGTCATAGTGACTAATACTAGTCGGACTTCCCTAGAATCAAACAGATCTCTTTGGTTTAAAAAAATTGAAGAACCAAACCGAATTGTGAAATCTTTACAATCAAACCCGAACCAGAATCAAACCAAATAAAGGGTTCGGTAACGGTTAGGTTTCATGGTTGTAGGCTAGAGAATTCGTAATTATATGTAGACTATCCAGCTTAATAAAAAAAATATACTTATCAAAATTAAGAGAAAAAAAAAAATTTGAACAATCTATTTTGGTTTTATCCAATTCTTTTGAATCTTAATCCGTGAACTGAATTGTAATGAACTATTCTTAATTTTTTGAAAGTAAAACCAAATTACTCTTTCGAAATATCAAATCAAACCATATAATTCGATTCAGTTTGGACAGATTTACCAATTTGAAGGTTTTTTATTTTTATTTTTATTTTTTTAACTCCTATTATAAAAAATTATATTGCCCTTATCCTCTATATAAACATATACATAAGAAGGGATCAATACCTCTCACTTTTAAATAATTAGAAAGAAAGATGCTAGGTACATAAAATGCATCCATCCATATATCACAAGAAAATTATGAAAAATGATTGGGAGTTTTAATAAAAGAGCTCTAATGAGCTCTGATGGGAGTAGGTTCCACTGTGATGTGATGTTTTGGTTCCTTTTTATTTATTTATTTATTTATTTCCTGCCACATCATTAGAGCTCTAAAATTAGAGGGATGTATCATTGTTCGAAAATTATTGTATGATTCAAATTTGAAAAATCTAAAAATCCCCTAGATGTTGATTTGTGATTATGTATCAATTTTAAGCAGAATATAACAATCTCAATCAAACAATCAAGACAAAGAGACACAACGATTTAACGTGGAAAAAACCACAATTGGACACCTCCAACTGTGATCAAAAAACCACGGGCAACAGCCACAAGAACAATCCACTAAGAAGATTTAAAGGAATTACACAGGTATACTCTCAATTACCTAGCGAATCCACAACGCCTAATTGAACCAACCTCTATGTGCCTCTTCCAACCCCATCTTCACCTCGGAATTGTCTTTCTGATGAGCCACTCCGGATTCCACCAAAGCTTCAGGCTCGAATTCTTCAGAATCCACAACTGAAGAATAACTCTCTCTTTTGTGTATAACAAACAAACCTTTGATGTACTCTCTTTAAATCATGAGTTGAAGACTCAATAAAAACATCAAAGAAAACAAACAAAATATCCCCAGATATAAACCTTAAGAACCAAAAAGAAGATCTGGAGGACTTCAAATCCATCACTTAGTTTTGGGAGAAAACCAAGTATTTATAGAGAACCAAAAGTAATCCTAGATTGGGAAGAAAACAAACTCTTCGAGAAATCCGGATTCTGAGGCTCGCTCGAGCGAAGCTTTGCTGGCTCGAGCTAAGAGTGTATTTTTCATGATTTCTACTAGTGCCTTGGCTCGAGCGACGGATCCTTGGCTCGAGCGAGGAATACACTCTTTTAGGTTTTTGTATGGACGCAATCCTTGGCTCGAGCGCGCATTCCTTGACTCGAGCAAGCAACGACGGACATGCAATTTTGAATGCAATTTTGCATTTTGCTTCGGCCGCCCCCCGTAATAATCAGCGAAGTGGCAATCTTAAAAGCATTAACATCACAAACTTCTCTGCATGGTTCGATTCGGGTTTGGATTCGCATCTAATAAACTCATAGTCTCACTGAAATAAAAGTGCGAAAATAAATACATCTTAAAAGAGTTTTGTCAAACGGGATTGCCAAGAATAAAACCTAACAAAATTCATTTTATATGTGATCCCTACCATAAATGAATTAAATTTGGATCATATAATAATTTCCTAGTACTTTATGTGCATTAGTTATGTATAAACATCACTAAGAACTTAAAAATTATCATAAAAAATGTTTGATTCTTAATTTGAGCATTGAATACGGGCTTAGGCTGGCATCACACAAAGGTGGTTGATCTCCATCCAAGTTTGTGTAGAAAATTTCATCAAATAGTTTTTATGAATGAGACTTAAATCTTTTCATTTCAACAACCTTATCCAAATATCACACTGAAATTATTTAATCATGGTCAAAACACCTGGAATCATGACTTGATTCCACAGATCTTTTAATGTTTTTTTTTGTTTCATCAAACCTAAGTTAGTAACCATGATCTTCAAAATTTATTACAGTCAAACACCTGAAATTAACACTCTCATAAACTACATTCAACTCACATTTCCCAAGATAAATTTTGACCCATGACTAATTTTTCATGTGTCTTTACTAAGGAATGACAACAATCCCAGATTTATCTTCGGGGAAATTACAAATCAGGGTTAGTGTGAGAAAATAATTATGAATTTATGTAAAAATTTATAATTTTAATTATTAATATTTATAAAATTTATCATTAATTGATAATTATTTTTTACAAATTCTTTTATCTTTCCAAGGAAACTCTGTGGTGTGCACCCCTTGGGGTGCATACCATATACACCCTGCCACAAATTTGTGTAATTTATGATAAATTTCATAATATCAACCTCAAAATGCATAATTTCATCACAAATTACCGGAACAAAAATATTTTATCAAATCACAAATCTTGGTTATATGAATCAAAAAATTTTAGACATTTTGTTACCTTAATTTGTGGCAATGTTATGTATTTTGTAATTGATATTACTAAATTTTGTGATAAAATTATACACCCTAAGAGCAGGGGCGGAGGCAGTGTATGCACAAGGGGGGCACGTGCCGCCCCCAAGTTTTGATTATTATATTGCTATCCCTATATATATAGATTATATCATATATATCTTCTATAAAATTATAATAATATCCATTCTTCAAATTATAATAGTCCTTCTATTATAAATTTTCTTTCTAATTACAATGAACCTACTAAAATCCAAAAGGGGTGTACCATATACTAGTTATTACTTTATGGTATTGATATTATAAATTTTCATAATAAAATTATTTTAATTCATAACTAAAATGACTACTATATAAATTATAACCAAATAACATGCCTTCAATTATAACCAAAAAAAAAAAAATTACAATAAGCCATAACTAATATCAAAATGAGTCATTACGAATCATTATTTGATGTATAATCAAAAACCTCTTCAATCATAACCAAAATAACAACCACAAAAAATTATAACTAAGTTATATTCAACAGTATAATGTATCATAACTAAAGACCATAAAGATCATAACTGCGACATATGATAGACATTTTTTTTGCGGTGTGTTTTATAGAATTTCTCTACTAAAATATATCATTTGTATCTCAACTTATCTTCTTTTTTAATTTTTCAATCTACCTAAAATAGTTACTCCACAATATTTGTGTAAAATTTAACCTTAAATCCTTTAATTTAAAATTCACATCTATCCAAATAAACTCTTAATATTTACATTTAGTAATATCTCAATATAGCTTATTATGAGGAAAAATCAAAATCAATATTATTATTAATTTGTGTCCTCTCTTCTCTGAATTTCTGGCTCCGCCACTGCCTAAGACGGTGCACATCGTAGTCTTTCCCTTCCAAGAAATATCTTAAGAAATGGAACCTAAAATAGTTACTCCACAATATTTGTATAAAATTTAACCTTAAATCCTTTAATTTAAAATTCACATCTATCCAAATAAACTCTTAATATTTACATTTAGTAATATCTCATTATAGCTTATTATGAGGAAAAATCAAAATCAATATTATTATTAATTTGTGTCCTCTCTTCTCTGAATTTCTGGCTCCGCCACTGCCTAAGACGGTGCACATCGTAGTCTTTCCCTTCCAAGAAATATCTTAAGAAATGGAATTAAATTCAGGTTCCCAAAATTGCTTATGTTAATTATTTTTCATGAAAGAGGCAACTACTATATAGTACTCATTCTGTCCCATTTTATTGGTTCATTATTTATCTTTTGTTATCTCAAAATATATGTCCATATTGAAAAGTCAAAACTTTAAATCCAAAAGTTTCTAAAATTATCCCTTATAAAATAATTATAAATATATTTATGTTGGCTTATTTTTTCTACGAAGGAAAATATCATAAATGCAAGCGTGCCATCAAGGATTGAAAAATCCTTACAGATTAGATTCAAGTCAATTATCAAGCGATTGTGTTGACGGTTATTTTGCCCCAAAGAAGAGGACTTCAAAATTGCGAAGTGTAAAGAAAAGAAAAATTAAAAAAAAAAAGAGGGAGACGGAGAAAGATGATTGAGTGAACAATCAAACTAACCATTAATTTATCTCTATTCTTATGCTTTGAAAATGAAGTGCATAAAATAAAGTGCAGAGAACTTACCTCTACTCTTATACTTCGAAAATGAAGTGCATAAAATAAAATGTAGAAAATTAAGTGCATGAAATATAAATGACAAGAAAATAGAAATTAATTGTCTTTGATTTGAGTTCTGGATCTCTTACAATGTAGCAATTAATGGCTATTTATAAGGGAAAAACTACAGCAATAATTACTTAGTAACTACCAATTTCTCCCATCTTCATCTTTGTCTTGTCATATGTCCTTCCACTCATTCACTTTGTCCTTCATGTTCTCCATCATCTCCATAACTTCTTTTAACTTCCAAATGAATAAAATGATGCCACGTGGCCTGAAAATAATAACAATAATTATACTAATAATAATAATATTTTATGGTGCCAACAATTTAAAAATGAGAATCGAAGGGTATTTTTTGAATTTTATCTTTTAAAATTTAAATTCAAAGTGTAATGATTATATCTCCTTAAAAAATTTAAATTTTCAAAAGATACTATTAATTTGAGAAAGAAAGAATATGAGCCGACCTTACCCTAGCAACGTCAAATTATAATTTGACAGCCAAAAGCTTTGATCAGGCATTAATTATGTGTCGAATTGCAAAGTCTTGCATAACACAAACAATTTTTATACAAAAGCCATTCAAATATCTAAAGGAGGCTTACC